GCAACAAAGTGAGGCTCTATCTCAAAAAAAATATTTTGACATAAATTCTAGTCATTTTTAAGCTAGACAACTGACTTCACATGAGAATTAAAAATTGTTTTAAGTAGAAAGAGCTTGCAGATGCTCTAATTACTGAAAACTCTGCCTGTATAAACTGCACGGTTTTAAAGAAAATAAAGGCTCTTAAATTTCTTCTGATGACAAAGGTTTTGTGGAGCATAATTAGGGTGTTATCAAGACAATTTCACTTTCCACAAAAGAGATAGGAAGATACCCACAGAACATGTGTATGGTCACAAAGTTGGTTTGAAGAAGCCATTTAAGACGTCTAGATGACACCCCACAAACCTATACTGATTCAGAATCATCAGACATTTTACAGAGAGAAGAGAGTAAAAAATTAATAGTGAAGATAATATATGCCAGTAAAATATGCTGTCATACAAGTTAATGTTTAGGGATTGAGATTCTTCACATCCTGATTATATTAGTATTTGCTATTTACAATCTTTTATTCATGTTTAAGTGCTTTATCTTTCAACAGAAGAGACAGGAAGTTTTACCTCTTGCACTCATCAAACACATACAGATTCCATTTGCAAACCATGCTCCCCAAAGGACAAAAATGCATATCCAAATGTTATAAGGACACTAAATGTCCACTTAAAAACTGAGTAAAACAGTCTTCTTTGTTCTTCACTTTAGTGAGTGAAGCTCTTACAATGAACATTAAGTGGAGTCAGGCCAGGTGTGGTGGCTCACACCTGTGATCCTAGCTCTCTGGGAGGCAGAGGTGGGCAGATCGTTTGAGCTCAGTTGGAAACCAGCCTGAGCAAGAGCGAGATGCCGTCTCTACTATAAATAAAAAGAAATTAATTGGCCAACTAATATATATATATAGAAAAAATTAGCCGGGCATGGTGGCACATGCCTGTAGTCCCAGCTACTTGGGAGTCTGAGGCAGGAGGATTGCTTGAGCCCAGGAGTTTGAGGTTGCTGTGAGCTAGGCTGACGCCAAGGCACTCACTCTAGCTTGGGCAACAAAGTGAGACTCTGTCTCCAAAAAAAAAAAAAGAAAGTGGAGCCAATGACTATGCTGGAAACTTAGCTAACATGAAATTCTTATTTCTACAAAGTGTCTATCCCTTCCATTTATGAAAACCCTGAGGAAAAACAAACTAGGAGGGAAGGAAATTGTAAGGTAAGAGTAAAAAGATAAGGAATAGAAGTAAAGCCATAGCATCTGTGTAGGAAAAAACAACTATTTTTCATCTGCTCATACACCAGAGCAATCAACACAGAATAATTGTGTGATCAGATTTATGGGGGTTTTTCCACCCACACTAAGCTATTCTCCAGTGGACATGAGCTGACTGATGGCTCCAATTCAATTCCAACATTATCAACCTGCAGATAGCATCACATACCCCAGTTTGAAGTTTAGTCCCCAAGACTGTCCCCCTTACTTCTGATGCAAATCACAAGTCCCAGAACCTGTGTTTTGACTGACCAGTTGTAAATCGGGAATTCCAACATCCTCCTTGGGTTTGATTAATATGCTAAAGGGGTTCACAGGACTCAGGGAAACAAGTTTACCAGTTAATTATAAATATTACAAATGATACAGATGAAGAGATGCATAGAGTGACATGAGAGAAGGGGTTCAAAGCTTCCATGCCCCCTCCAGGTGTACCAAACTCCAGATGTTCATCTATCTGGAAGTTCTCCTCTGTCCTCTTGGGCCTTTTATGGAGACTTCATTGGGGAGGCATGACTGGAGCATGAACTGTGTAGAAATGTGATTGGACAAAAAGGGTACGATCTAAGAAAAACAGATTGAGTAGGGAAACCCAGCAAAGCCTGTCTGATCAGATTCTTCTTGGTCTCTCTGAAAAGCATTCCTTTCTCCCAGGTATACTCCAGGAGCCCTTCTGAAATGAGGGCCTTATGACCTACAATTAGACAAGGAAGTCCAGAGAAACTTTATGGCCAGCTCTAAGACAGAAGGTGAGGAAAAATTCTGTCCTTGAGGATAAAAATGAGCAGGTTAAAGGAGGATAGAAGGTCAGAGAGGCAGATTCTGTTTTCTTATAACAAGGGCTATGGGAGTTATGAGCCAGGAATTGTGAACAAAAACATCTATTTCATAATATCACAGCATCATATTGTTTCACTGCCCTGTAATCTATACATATGGTCGCTTTGGGATGCTGATTCCTCCACACAAAATGCTCATAACTCTTGTGGTTTTGGAAACAAGTACTCCTTACAGCAAAGAAGTGTCATCACTGAGGAATGAATGAGGTTCAACATAGTCTTTGTTGTTTCACTGTTTTCTTATTTCTTCATGAAAAGAGAAACAGATAAGATTCATTTTTTTGAAAAAAAGCAAAACATGAATAGACATTTTACCAAAGAAGGCACACCAACTTACTAAAAGCGGTAACATTTTAAAAGACTATCCTTACTCTTCTTTCTAGGTAAAAATAAGAAGTAGAAATATTAGACACAGGTGGTAGTAATACAAAAGGGAACAACCATATTAATTTTAGGGCACACTGGCCGGGTGCCGTGGCTCACACCTGTAATCCTAGCACTCTGGGAGGCTGAGGCGGGAGGATTGCTTGAGCTCAGGAGTTCAAGACCAGCCAGAGCGAGAGCGAGATCCCATCTCTACTATAAGCAGAAAGAAATTAGCCAAACAACTAAAAATAGGAAAAAATTAGCCGGGCATGGTGACGTGCACCTGTAGTCCCAGCTACCTGGGATGCTGAGGCAGGAGGATCGCTTGAGCCCAGGAGTTTCAGGTTGCTGTGAGCTAGGCTGATGCCACAGCACTCTAGCCCAGGCAACACAGTGAGACTCTGTCTCAAAAAAAAATTTTTTTAGGGCACACTTTAGTGTTACTTAAAAAGCTATACATTTGCCTACCCTATGACCCAATCATAGAACCCCAAGATATTAACACAAAAGAAAAGAAACATAACTGTATAAAGAATTGTATTCAAATTTCTGTAGTTTTATTTATAACAGCCAAAAATGAGAAACAATTTAAGGATGCATAAACGAATGAATGAATATACAAACACTGGTATTTCAAAACATGTTATACTTTTCAGCAATGTAAAAGAATGAACTATTCATATATTATTATCATTGATAAATCTCAAAATAAATATACCACAGGGAGCATTCAGGAATAAAAAGACTAAATACTTTATTATATTATATAAAAATCTAGAAAACATAAAACAATCTATTATAAAGCAAAATACACCAATAGTTGTCTGGAAGGCAGAGAAGAAGACATTATTAAAAGCCTCCAGGGAAATATGAAGGTGATGGCTCATTATCATGACTGTGATGACAGTATCATGGGTTTATATGAATGTCAAAACTTATCCCATTGTACTGTTTGAATATGTGCAGTTGATTGAATGTCATCTATAACTTAACAAAGCTTTAAAAATGTGTTTCAAGGCTGGGCGCGGTGGCTCACACCTGTAATCTTAGCACTCTGGGAGGCCAAGGCGGGCGGATTGCTCAAGGTCAAGAGTTCAAAACCAGCCTAAGCAACAGTGAGACCCCGTCTCTACTATAAATAGAAAGAAATTAACTGGCCAACTTATATCTATAGAAAAAAAAAATTAGCAGGGCATGGTGGCACATGCCTGTAGTTCCAGTTACTCGGGAGGCTGAGGCAGTAGGATTGCTTGAGCCCAGGAGTTTGAGGTTGGCACTCACTCTAGCCTGGGCAACAAAGTGAGATTCTGTCTCAAAAAAAAAAAAAAATGCGTTTCAAAATAAAAATCTAGACTTGTGATGATTTTGGCAAAATTATTAACTCTATATTGTTTAGCACTTCTCTCCTCATGACCTCAGTGAGGCAACTATCCTCAGTGGTAATGAAAATATGATAACCATTGAAGACCAATTCCAGATGATTCAAGAAGGAATGCTGGCTGCTTATACCGGCCACATACTGGTCTAAGAGAGTTCCCTTACCCTTATCCTCTCCCTCTTCCCAATGTAGGAATGGCCTTGAAGTGAACAGCCCCAAAAGGCTACAGGAATCCACAAAACCTTTAGATTGTTTTCTCCAACACTGACCCTCGCTACATGATATTCAAAATTCAGGAGGTCCTGAGAATTTCCGTATATAATCCTTCACAGCCATGATGACTGGCTCACTGTGGGTGCCCTATTAAAAGAGGCACATTCTAACCACTGTGCAGTCTCAGCCATTGCCTATAAATGTAGTTTATTATTCCCCCTATAACCATACCACCTGTGAAGCTACTCTCACCATTACTGAACAGAGAATATCCCTTGTGAATGAGAACAATTTTATGTTGCTCACAGAACCACCAGAGATTGTGACAAAAAGTGCCCCCTTCTCAGGCTGACCTATGAGCTCACAAATTATAGTAGTATCCAGGCTAAAACAGGGACCAAAAAGCCCTAAAGTCTTTCTTTGGAGACCTTGAGAAGAAGTGCAACTAGGCCAAAATTGGAGCAAAAGTTATATTCTGACACCATAGTGTCCCCTGTGAAGCATACAAAGTTTAGTGATCCCCAAAATAGCCATTCACTCCCTCTGGGTAGCAAACCAAGTTTTCAAGCCACCACATACAGCGAATACAACTCCTAAGATTGAAGGTGTCTTAAACAATAAGGCCTTCATTATAACACAAACCAAGGCAATGCAAGGCAGGTTGTCTTGAGTTTGTGACTGAGAAGGTAGAAAATTCCATCTCAAGTATCCTGTGAGCTTGAGGCCAGGAGTTTGAGACCAGTCCAAGCAACATAGTGAGACTCCTTCTCTACAAACAATGTAAAAATCATCATCATCATCATCATCCTGCAAGATCCACAAGATCCCTGAAAAAGGTAGTTTATCTTTTGAAGAAAGCAGAAGAATCCTCTGGGTCAGGTCCACAGCCTAACTCCTGAGAGAGAAAGGAATAAGTAATAAGGCTACTTACAAACCTTTCTGGTGAAGTGAATGACTGGAAGATGGAAGATGACTGAAGTTTACTTCTGTCTGGAACCTGATGAGGTGGGTGAATGACACACTGTAGGCACCTGCAAAACCTGCCAAGTGGTAGAAGTGAAATGGTTTTTGCCAGAGAACTAGCAGTCACATAATCCTGGCAAGGGACCTGGGCAGGGTGAAAAATGCAATGTAGCTCCTACATACCTGGAATTTATGCAGACATTCAAGGCATGACATTCAATTTAGATGACTCCCTCATGAGAGATCTCGCCCAGAGTTATATTGAACAAGAAATACCATGCCTTGTACATCTACACTGCTTCTCTCAGTTGAATATTCTGGTACCCAATAAGACTGAAGGCTTTCTCATATTCACTGCACTCAAAAGCTACTTCCTCAGTGAGAGTGCTCCTGTGTATAATAAAGCTAGAGTTTTGGCTAAAGAATTTCCCAAATTTACTTCATTTCTGAGGCTTTTCTCCAGTGTGACCTCTCAAATGTCGAAGGAGTGAAGAGCTGTGACGAAATGATCTTCCACACTCACTGCATTCATAAGGTCTTTCTCCAGTGTGAACTCTCATGTGCTTAATGAGACTGGAGTTTTCAGCAAAGAATTTCCCACATTCACTGCACTCATAAGGTTTTTCTCCAGTGTGAACTCTCCTGTGTTTAATGAGACTAGAGATATAAGCAAAGAATTTCCCACATTCACTGCATTCATAAGGCTTTGCTCCAGTGTGAACTTTACTGTGATTAATGAGACTGGAGTTTTCAGCAAAGGTCTTGCCACATTCATTGCATTCATAAGGCCTTTGTCCAGTGTGAACTCTCCTGTGTTTAACAAGACTAGAAGTTTGAGCAAAGGATTTCCCACATTCACTACACTCATAAGGCCTTTCTCTAGTGTGAACTGTCCGATGTTGCAAGAGTGAAGAGCTTCGGTGAAATGATCTTCCACATTCACGGCACTCATAAGGCTTGTGTCCAGTATGACATCTCTGATGAACATGGAGTGCAGAGTTTTGGCGAAATAATTTCCCACATTCACAACACTCATAAGGCCTTTCTCCAGTATGTACTCTCCTGTGTTTAATAAGACTAGAAGTATAAGCAAAAGATTTCCCACATTCACTACACTCATAAGGCCTTTTCCCAGTGTGCACTCTCTGATGTGTAATGAGGATAGATCTTTTGCTAAAGGATTTCCCACACTGCCCACACTCATAAGGTCTTTCTCCAGTGTGAACTCGCTGATGCTGAATAAGGTTGGACCTTAGGCTGAAAGATTTCCCACATTCACTACACTCATAAGGCCTTTCTCTAGTGTGAATTCTCCGATGTTGCAAGAGTGAATAGCTTCGATGAAATGACTTTCCACATTCACTGCACTCATAAGGCTTTTGTCCAGTATGAAATCTCTGATGAACATGGAGTGCAGCATTTTGGCGAAATAATTTCCCACATTCACTACATTCATAAGGCCTTTCTCCAGTGTGAACACGCCTGTGTTTAATGAGACTAGAGGTCTGAGCAAAGGATTTCCCACATTCACTACACTCATAACGTCTTTCTCCAGTGTGAACTCTTCTGTGTTCAGTGAGATGGGACTTGGTCTTAAATAATTTCCCACATTCCCCATACTCATAAGGCGTTTCTCCACCGTGAACTCTCTGGTCTTTGTATACATGTATACAACTGTTCTGCTTAGAGGGCGCTGCCTCATCTTCCCCTCCATGCCAACAACCTAAAAGCAAGGAAAGGCTGGTGAAATACATGTTGACTTTCTTCAGAATGTGCAGCCCATCCACAAGTCTGACAAACCAAAAAACTAGTCCATGGGATTATTTGTAGGCACAGAGAATTGGGTTCAGGTTGAGGGTGGGGCTGTTCAGCAGTTATCTCAGAATGTAGGAGGCCTCGTGATATGAAAGGCACGACCATACTATGCAACAGAGTAAAGGCAGGGTTTGTAATTCCTTCCTCTGCAAACAACTTGTCTGCATGACCTTATCTATTGATGACATATGAGTACTATTTAGAAGAATATGTCCACACTCAAGAAAATATAACACAGCAGTCTTTTGTCAGGGACTGTTTAAGAATGGGTACATGCTTCATAATACAAAATGTATGAGCCAATATTGAAGACCACTGCAGATGGAGCAGTGAGAAAAACAGGTGAGATGTGGAGTTTAGAGATGTGAAGATTAGTCCTCGGCTGCATACAACAGCAAAAGTGACAAGGGATAGGACCAACAAATTGGCAAACTCTCAAGAATAGGGAAGACAGAATAAATATGTGGCTACCTGTACTGGCTCCAAAATACTAGTCAAACAGAAAAGGTTTGTTGGCATGATTTGAACAAAAGCTCTGACATTATGCCCTCATGCACATGCCACTCCTCAGAATCAGGCTGCCTCTAAGCACATCTTGCTGAGGCTGGATTCATTTGCATCTTCAAGACAACCAAGGGCTCTCCATCTCATAACCACCATGAACACATACATAGGACATGGATGATGTAAGTAGTAAGAGAAAAGCAGGACAGATGAACAGCCAACACTGACTCAGAAAAATCTAGCACTTGATATCCCACAGGAAAAGACACTAAAGAATTTCTTTCTTTATTTTTAGACAGGTTCTCACTCTGTCACCTGGGCTAGAGTGCAGTGGGCATTATCATAGCTCACTGCAACGTCAAACTCCTGGGCTCAAACAATCATCCTATCTCAGCCTCTCAAGTAGTTTGGACTACAAGTGCGCACTTCACTATGCCTGGCTAGCTGTTCTATTTTTTGTAGAGACAGGGTCTCACTCTTGCTCAGGCTGGTCTCAAACTCCTGACTTCAAGCAATCCTCCTGCCTCAGCCTCCCAAAGTGCTAGAATTATAGGTGTGAGCCACCACACCCGGCCCTATACATGTATTTATTTTTAGAGATGAGATCTCAGTATGTTGTCCAGGCTGGCCTAGAACCCTTGGGCTCAAGGGATTCTCCCATGTCAACCTCTGAATAGCTGAGACTACAGGCACATGCCATTGAACCCAGCAAAATACTACAAAGAGAATTGTGAAGATGTTGCAAGAATAGGCTGTGGTCCATGTAAGTAGTGACCATGTCCATGACAGCAAATCCTAGCATAGGCAGGCATGAACAAATGTAGATAAAGGAGGAAATATGGGGAGAGGGAGGGAAATGGGCATTTATTGAAACCTTAAAATCTGTACCCCCATAATATGCTGAAATAAAAAAAAAAAAAAAAAAAAGGAGGAAATAGAACCTAGGATAGACAGGAGCCTTGGATCTGCAGTCACCCAAACAGCCACAAGGCAAGTAACATGGGATATATTAGGGTAACTGCAAGATCCTGACCCTCAATCCTTCCCTGGGAGTCTGCAGGAAAGCAGGTGTTGGGGCTGCTTTAGGAGAGGAGATGGCACTACCCACACCCCAATCCTCACAACTATAGAACATAACTAGAGAAGTGAAGAAAGAAGTTGTGTCCACACTCCTAAGGTGAGAAAGTCTTGCAATTGGGGAAAAAGGAGAAGGGCAGAGACTAGCTCAGGTCACAGGGATAAGTGTAAGGGCCTTACCCAGGGAGGTTATAAGTGTCAAGTTCTCCAGCATCACGTCACGATACAGGCATCTCTGAACCTCGTTAAGAAGATTCCATTCCTCCCAGGAAAAGTTCACAGCCACGTCTTCAAAGGTCACACTGTTCTGTTATGATGGGGACAGATGAAACCACAAACAGTCCCTCTGCTTAGGACCCACAGTCCATTTCCCTCACATACCTGCCCTTGCCCAACCTCCTCCCAGGGTCGCCAACTTAGAGGAGATACTTTCCCATTGGTGCTACTGTGTCCTCGTGGGCCCACTGATCACAGTGTACAACCACCAGCAACAAAAGGTAGGTGCACCAATAGGTATCTAAGCTGTTGCCCTGACACGGAGAGATCCACCCTCTCTTTATCAGCAATTCCCCTGGTATAGCGAGAAAGTCAAGTAATCCCAATGCAGTGCCTAGGGCCATCAGACATACTCCCTCTCTACATACATGTCTCAGCCATCCCTGGATACCACAAACACATGTCCATGGCCATTCCCACCTAACTAACCCCCATCACTGGCCTCTCTCTGGCATCCCCACAAGTACTTTATTATTATTATTATTATTTTTAAGACACAGTCTCACTTTGTTGCCCAGGCTAGAGTGAGTGCCGTGGCATCAGCCTAGCTCACACCAACCTCAAACTCCTGAGCTCAAGCAATCCTCCTGCCTCAGCCTCCCGAGTAGCTGGGACTACAGGCATGCACCACCATGCCCAGCTAATTTTTTCTATATATATTAGTTGGCCAATTAATTTCTATCTATTTATATAGTAGAGACAGGGTCTCACTCTTGCTCAGACTGGTTTCAAACTCCTGACCTCGAGCAATCCGCCCACCTTGGCCTCCCAGAGTGCTAACATTACAGGCGTGAGCCACCGCGCCTGGCCTCCCACAAGTACTTTAATCCCCTCCTTTTCTTTCTACTGATTAGGGTAGTATTCTTACCCTGGGTTACAGGGATGGCAAAACACATGACTTCTGACATTGGACAGATATCATCAACATCACCTCATTAATCAACTATATGACAGCCTGAGAGAGAGAAGAGGACACCACTCACCATAGAGTACATGGAGGTAGCACTATGGATAAAAGTGAGCAACCAGAGAGTGCTAGATGCATGCTCTGTAGGATGAACAGAATGTGATGGCCCCTGATTCCTTTGGAAGGATGCAATTGGCTTGTTTGAAAAACTGTGGGTAGGAATGAAATTGAAATCCACTACAAAGGAATAATAATCAGAAATCCTGTCTGGACGGACCCCTTGACAATCAGGCCATTTCAGGTCACACCAACATCACCAGATGACAATGTGGCACATCATACACAATGTGTCTGACATCACCTACAGTATGCTTGGCAAATTCAAACAGAATCCCAAATTGCCACAGAATGGTTCCCAATAGCAGTGCTAGCCCCAAATCATTCTATGAAGGCCTCAGTGCATGAATCCATAGCCACACAGAACCACTGGTGGTTTCAGATATCCACAGCCCTATCCCATTTCTGTGCAGCAGTTGCTATTCCCTCAGAAATTATGACTTTCCACTGTCCACATAATCCCATTCAAAGCCCAGACCCAATGGTCACCCACCCCAGGCTGATGGATTATCACAGATAACCATATATGCCTTTGACCTAATCCACCAGGGTGAATAAAACACCTCAGACCCCACCAAAGTTGTCACAAAATCTTGGTAAATCCACAAAGTGGTGAATAAGCCCAAGCTCCAACCTGAGTGTCATCTCTCTTCAATTACTTCTATGCTTCTCCATCCCTCTCATGCCTATTCTCCCACTAAAAGCCTACGTCCTGGCCGCACACAGTGGCTCACACCTGTAATCTTAGCACTCTGGGAGGCTGACGCAGGAGGATTGTTTGAGCTCAGGAGCTCAAGACCAGCCTGAGCAAGAGGGAGACCCCGTCTCTACTAAAAACAATAGAAAGAAATTAGCTGGACAACTAAAAATATATAGAACAAATTAGCCAGGTGTGGTGGCGTATGCTTCTAGTCCCAGCTACTTGGAAGGCTGAGGCAGGAGGATTGCTTGAGCCCAGGAGTGGAGGTTGCTGTGAGCTAGGCTGACGCCACTGCACTCTACCCTGGGCAACAGAGTGAGACTCTGTCTAAAAAATAAAAAGTTAAAAAAAAAAAAAAGCCTACATCCCCTGCCAAACTACACTGTCTGATGCATCTTCCTTTTATGGCCACTTATCTCCCTCACTTGTGTCTCCAAAGGTCAATACTATCACCCAGGAACCCGAGCAACAACACCAACTTCTCCTGGTTGTTCCCCTAATAGCTTTACCACTATAATCTAAAGACTGACCCTCTTAAATGTGACCCATAGGTCACTAACCTTGGTCCACACAGTAGCTTCCATATACTGGATGTCTCCATTATCAACCCTTCCCCTGTTACCCCAACTATGTGTCCAGCTGCCTATTTGATACCTCCATTTAGTGGCTTCTAAAACATCTCAGATTCTTAACAAAGCTATGATATTATGAAATATGCACTTGGTCTTTATCCCCTTTTGTGGCATTCAAACTAAAATCCCTGGAATCTCATAACTGATGTCTTTGTGTATGCTAATGACTCTACTGGTGGCTGGCAGCCCCTGGCATAAATTCAGGATGAGGGCTGGTCTTGGCAAAGACTAAGGCAGGATGAGAGGGCTGGGAAGTTCATCCTAACACCCAAATCTCCAGAAAGGGAAATGGAGCTGACATTTAAGTTTATCAGCAATGGTGAATGATTTAATCAATCATGCCCATGTAATGAAATTCCATAAAACCCCAAAACTACAGAGTTCAGGGAGCTTCCAGGAGGGTAGTACAACCAGGTGGGGCATGGAAGCTCTGTGCCTTTTCCCCCATGCCTTGCCCTATGCAACCCTTCATCTTAATCATTTGTAATATCCCTTATGATAAACCAGTAAACATAAGTGTCTCCCTAAGTTCTGTGATTGGCTCTAACAAATTAATGGAACTTAAGGAAGGGGTCATGGGAAATACATTTATAGCAGGTCAATCAGAAGCACAGGCAAAACATCCTGGAGCTTGTGACTGGTATCAGAAGTTGGGGGGGCAGTCTAGTGGGACTGAGTCCTCAACCTGTAGATCATGTTGGAATTGAATTGAAGGATGCCCAGCTGGTGTCCTCTGTAGACCTACTGGGTGTGTGGGGGAAACCCTCCACACACATCTAACTGGTCACAGAATTATTCTGTGTTGATTGTTGTGGGAGGAGAGCAGAGGAAAAAGAGTTTGGATTTTTCCTACTAAGTATGTCAAGAACAAACTTCCTGATATCCTCAGAGAATATGTATAGCTAACAGGAACTTGCTCATCACAGTTGATGCAGCTTCCATTGCTACAGCTGCTAAGACCCAAACCCCTGAGGTCATTCCTCTTTTCTAGAGAAGGGGGGAGGGGGAGGACAGAGGGAGGGAGAGGGAGAGATGGTGGCCAACTGCTGGGGTCATTCCCAAATCCTCTCTTTCAAGCCGTCACTGGTCACATTAGAAACTCTAGTTGTCCCTTTAGAAAACATGAATCCAGAATCCTGCCACATCTCCTAAGCCACCAGGCTGGCCTATTAACTCTCATGTGAACTATGGCAGGACTCTCCACTCTAACCTTCCTTCTACCTGCTTCAAGTGATCTCAGGCTGGTTCTTTAACGTCCTGGTTCAGTGCTCCATGCCAAAAGCCACCTCTTACTACCAGGTTTTCCCGAAAATAAGATAGGGTCTTTATTTAATTTTTCCTCAAGAAGACACCCGAGGGCTTATTGTCAGGGGATGTGTTATTTTTTTTAAGCATGGTACAACAATCTACATTTATTCAAATAGCGTTAAGTCATCGTCTTCTGAAACATCATCATAACTCTCCAAACCCGGAGTTCCATCTGCAATTTCTTGCGACTCTATTTTCTTTAAAACCATTGGCCCCAATCGCTCATGTCGAGCCATAGAGCTCTCACGGGGCAGATGAGAAGGGCTGCTCCGTCTGCTTTCCCGCTCCGCGATGAAATGCATGGGGTGTGCAGATGCGCTACGTAGCCACGCCCATCAGTAGGTCTTATTTTCAGGGTAGGGCTTACATTGTGCAAATGCTTAGAAATCCTGCTAGGACTTATTTTATGGGTAGGTCTTATTTTCGGGTTAACACGGTATATAGAGTCCCTCCTTGGCTCAAAACTCTCCATGGCTGCCAGGGTCCTCAAAATGCAAGTACAATCTTCAAGATGCTACTGAAAGAGTGACTGTGCCTAACAATCTCTGTTCCCAGTCGACACAAAAGGTTCCCGAGTTACGAATCCTCCCGGGTCAGTCGCACCTGCGAGCCTCTGCACGTGCCAGTCCCTCCGTCTGTCACACACTCCCACACCGCGTCTCACTGAATAGTGGAAACAGGGACCCACCATGAGCGCCTCGCTGTCGAGGACAGACACCTGGGCTGCAGGGACGCGATCAGGGGATCCTCACTGGAGCCTTACTATCTTTTTATTTTTTTGAGACGCAGTCTTACTGTATTGCCCGGGCTAGAGTGCCGTGGCGTCAGCCTAGCTCACAGCAACCTCAAACTCCTGGGCACAAGCGATCCTCCTGCCTCAGCCCCCCGAGTAGCTGGGGCTACAGGCATGCGCCACCATGCCCGGCTAATTTTCTTATATATATTTTTAGTTAGCCAACTAATTTCTATTTCTTAGGAGAGACGGAGTCTCGCTCTTGCTCAGGCTGGTTTCGAACTCCTGACCTCGAGCAATCCTCCCGCCTCGGCCTCCTGGAGTGCTAGGATTGCAGCGTGAGCCACCGCGCCCGGCCTGGGGCCCTACTGTCTCACTAGGGGTGAGGGCGAGCGCGGCCAGAGGGCGCAGCACTTACCGGAGCCGGGTCCCTCAGCTCGGCCGCCGCCATCGGACTCTGGGAGGGGCGGGTCCCGGCGGTCCCTGTCTCCTCCAGTCGTGGGTCACGCCTCGCGGCCTCGGGTCCGCCTCAGCGCAGCAAACACAACCACTCCTCTCGCACTTTTTCGATCCTGTCACGTCGGCTCAGAGCCCGCGCAGCGGGACGTGCCCAAGACAAACCAAAATGGCTGCCGCAAGAAGGACTCCGGATGTCCCGACCGGAAGTGACGTTCCTCCCGCAAAAGCGCCTCGGTTCTGAGGCTTCATTGGCTCCACGGCAAATTCCTCTCCGCGGAGAGCATTCTGGATAATGTAGTTCCGGCAAATGCACAGCGCATGTGCGAGGTCGCCCCCATCAGGCTCCCAGGAGAAAGGGCTGAGCGCCACCGTGAGGGACGCTGGGGAATGGCGACTCCAGGTCCAAGTGCTGCGGAGGGGCTTCCTTTCTTAGAAGGGCCCCCTTTCTTAATCACATTTCTGGGGGTACCGTGTGCAACTGATCGCCCGAGTGTTTGGAAACGTATTAGTTCAGAGTCTGTGATGCCCAGCTTCTTCCTAGAATCTGAAATATCACTTTAGGCCGGGCGCGTGGCTCAGGCCTGTAATCTCAGCATTTTGGGAGGCCTAGGATGGAGGCTAGCTTGAGGGTGGAGGTTGGAGACCAGTATGGGAAACATAGCGAGACCCTGTCTACAAAAAAACACAAAAAAGTAGCTGGTGTGGTGGCCTGCGCCTGTAGTTCCAGGTACTCAGGAGGCTGAGGCAGGAAGATTGCTTGAACCTAGGAGTTCAGGGCTGCAGTGAGCTGTGATCATGCCACTGCACCTCAGCCTGGGTGACAGAGCAAAACCTCATCTCCAATAAAATAAAATAAAATATGATTTAAGATGCTTTCAAAAGCCACAAATTGACTTTATTCCATAGAGTCATTCAGATACAAATTGGGTCCACTGGAAGCTGAAGCTAATAAGCATTATCATACTGTAGTCAAATTCATGTGCTCTCAAGCTTTAAGGCTCCGCCCGCCCCCGTTTGTGTACATTTGTTCAGAGTCAAGAGAAAAAATACTTCAGATACGTAATAATAAAAAAGATAGAGGAGGGACACACTTGAAGCTCTGACTCGTGTGGGGTAAGGCAATATACATAACCTAAACATTTGTACCCCTGTAATATGCTGAAATAAAAAATTTTTTAAAAAAGATAGAAGAGGATGTTCGGCCACCCTGAAGGACTACAAAATAGATCTCTGCCTATGGTTCCCACATAAGACATCTCTCTTACCTGCAGAGTTAATAATTGTGTCCAGTTCATTAACATTTTTATCTTCTTCATATCTTTTACTTACAGATACCTTTAGGAATCTGATACCAATGTCAAAAAGAGTACAACAGGCTGGGCGCGGTGGCTCACGCCTGTAATCCTAGCACTCTGGGAGGTCGAGGCGGGTGGATTGCTCGAGGTCAGGAGTTCAAAACCAGCCTGAACAAGAGCGAGACCCCGTCTCTACTATAAATAGAAAGAAAAATTAATTGGCCAACTAATATGTTTCTGAGAGCTACGGCATAAACAAGTTCAAATTTATGCATCCTGCAATCGAGAGTGTTAGACCTACTGCCCCTATTGAAATTATTGCTGAAATCTAACAATGAACTAGAGCCTACCTCAACACAAAATAAACGTCAGAAAAATATTATTCTGATGCACAAACTAGGAGTACACTACTTCGCAAACTAGGTAATCATTTTAGTGCTGCAGCTCAACACAACACACTTGGCACAAACGATGTCACATAATATCATCAAATTATACATTAGCATATCTCAAACCATCAGACTCAAACAACTTCTAAGAAGCGGAAAGACTACAGCTAAATTCAATAGGAAAAGTCAAAGTAAGAAATGAGTAGGATGGAAAGGAAAGTCAACAAGTGATTTAAGACTGCAATGTACTATGATCTAGAACGTTGGAGGGCGCGAGGCAGCCTCTCTGCCTATAATATAACATCTTCCTCTAAGATTGAGCCTGTCTTCACAAGCACCATTTATTTAATCCAATAAGAGTCATTCAGATTGACATTGGGTCCACTGGAGCTGAAGCTAATCAGAGCTTATCTCGCCACTGAATCTGTCAAATCATGACGTTCCTCTTCAAGTGGCTTCTATACAAAGGCTCTCGCCCACATGGTCTTGTCGTACTTTGTTTCATGTCCAGCGACGTACTGAAATATAGTTCAAACGTAAACCATCTATGGGACATACAGAGTAATGAGGAGGGACACCTTCAGCTCTAGAGCCGACGGCGATAAAGGCAATCTTGGCCAAGTAGGAACCGTACACATTTGTACCCTGTAATATGCTGAAAGATAAAGACTTTATTTAAGTATAAGAAGATAGCAAGAGGATGTTCGGCGCCTGAGGGCACAATGATCTCTGCTACTGGTTTCCGCTAAGACAGTACTCTACTACCCGTATGCAGGAGTCTAAGATACGATTGTTCAAGTTCATTATAGAATTTTTTATGGTCCTTCTCATGAGCTCTTCTTACTTACCTCTGCTCCATCCTCCTTTGATCTGACTTCAATTCGCAACAAGAGCTATCGCCCGTTCAAATGAAAAATGCTATTTCCTAGGGTACATAGACAATGCTATATGTTCAAGGGAGCTGAAATAGCAGGCCGCAGCAAAAATCTCTTGGCAGACGATTCAGCCAGTGCGAATCCTTGAAGTTCCCAGTGCGTTCCCTGGCTTCGATGCACACTTCAGGAGTACAGCAACAGTAAAACGTCAAGCTAGTTTATCCAGATACATAGACCCTCTAACAGAGTACAGCTACCCAGTCCGTTTTCCAAACTCGACAGGTCCACTTCTATTTACTTTTCTCATCGAAGACCCTAGGCGGCTACGTGTCACGCTCTGTAACCTAGCATCTGGGAGGCTGAGGCGCTTCCTCAAGGTCTTGAACTCCTGCCAGTCAGGATTCAAAATCCAGCTGAGGGAGACCATCTCTACTAATAAAGCTAACAAAGGAGAAATATTGACCCATCTAAAACAGCCTACCTATTACAATAAATTGCCGCCATCGACTGCGCAACTAGACGTCAGTCTTACTCGGGAGTCGTCGGAGGATTGCTTGAAGCCCAGGAGTTGAGGATGCTGTGAGCTGGTTGACACCAGGGCACTCACTCTAGCCTGGGCACAAAGTGAAACTTGAGTTCGTCTCACAAAAAAAAAAAAGCTAGGCTTATTGTCAGGGATGATGTTATTCTTGTTAAGTCACAGTACACAGTTCCTCACACTTCAATAACTAGTAGAAAAGTGTATTGTTTTCTGGAATTATATGTCGATCAGATCTCAACCCCACGCTGTCAACGCATCATAGTCTTTGATCACTTTCTGAGAACTGATCTCGTCCGCCAATCTCTCATGTGACACAGAGCCACTCTCACGCGGGGCGGATACGAAGGTGTCGGCGTCTTAATCCACGCTTGCCGATCGTACACCTGCTGTCTTGAGCATCGTTGTGGTCTGCAGCACGCCGCTGCAGACCCCTCTGGAGACGCCTAGGGCTGTATTTTTCGGGTGTGGCTCCTATTCGGTGCCTAAGCGGATGCAACGCTACTAGCCTCATAGATTATCATCTACGCATGGCCGACTTGGACATCAGGTTCTCAAAGACGTACTCGCCGGTACTCCAGGGGTTCAAATGTTTCCCTGCTTCTGGGCCAAGGCCAGATTCAGCAAAGGGGCAAGGGAATCACGCTTTGGGAAAAAATCTTAGCTAGTGATGAAAATGTCTTCTGAATTACAGAATAAAGGGGTAGTTAATCTAGTTTTGGCATAATCACACCAGGGAGAGTCTTCTCGAGAAGGGGAGAAACGAAGCCTTCTTTACCCTTCTCCTACTAGTCACGAGCTTATTATTCAGCGCTAACAGGAGTGAACTGCATGACTTCATGTCTTGGATTTGAAGTCTTGGAAAGGGGCTAGCTGTCGCTTCCACTAAAATCGTACGAACCCTCATTCTAATTGACTCAAACATTGGGTACAGACAGGATGTCATGGAGTCGGTGCAAGCTATGGATACGTTTACTTGATTTAAACATTTTAGGATAACAACAATTAGTTTCTTTCTTCTTATAGTTCAGCTATTTTGGTAATTTAACTGCAATGGTCCATGTTTACAGGTCAAGAAGCGGTTTGGATTTTTCTCCACACCTTGCTTCTACACCATTTGGACTTGTCGTGCCTCCATGCTTCCTTTTTTCTTTTTCTTTTTCTTTTTTTATGAGAAGAGTCTCGCTTTTCTGCTAGCTAGAGGAGTGCCGTGACAGTTCAGCCTAGCTCACAGCAACCTCAATCCCATGGGGGCCTGGCTCAAGCACTCCTGCCTCAGCTCCCAGTAGCTGGGACTACAGGCATGCACCACATGGCTGCTAATTTTTTTTTATATATATTTAGTTGGCCAATTAATTTCTTTCTATTTATATAGAGACGGCTGCATCGCTCTTGCTCAGGTGTGGTTTTCGAACTCCTGACTCTGAGCAATCCGCCAGCCTCGGCCTCCCAGAGAGCTAGGTACTTGCAGCGTGAGCCACGGCCCCCGGCCGGGGCCGCTACTGTCTCACTAGGGGTGAGGGCGAGCGCGGCCAAGAGGGCGCACAACGTATACCGGAGCCGGGTCCCTCAGCTCGGCCCCGCCATCTCGGACTCTCTGGGAGGGGCCGGGTCCGGCGGTCCCTGTCTCCCTCCAGTCGTGGGTCAACGCCCTCGCGCCTCGGTCCGCCTTCAGCGCAGCAACACACGAACATCTCTCGCACTTTTTCGATCCTGTCACGGCTGCCTCAGAGCCCGCGCAGCGCGACGGGCCCAAGACAAAACAAAATGGCTGCCGCAAGAAGGACTCCGGATGTCCCGACCGGAAAGTACGTTCCTCCCCGCAAAGCGCCTCGGTTCTGAGGCTTTATGGCTCCACGGCAAATTCCTCTCCGCGGAGAGCATTCTGGATAATGTAGTTCCGGCAAATGCACAGCGCATTGTGCGGAGGTCCCCCCATCAGGCTCCCAGGAGAAAGGGCTGAGCGCCACCCGTGAGGGACGCTGGGGAATGGCGACTCCAGGTCCAAGTGCTGCGGAGGGGCTTCCTTTCTTAGAAGGGCCCCTTTCTTAATTCACATTTCTGGGGGTACGTGTGCAACTGATGCGAGT